ACTCTTCGGGGGGGAGATGATATGTATGTATCTCGGAGGTTGGATGTTGGATGTGGGATCCAGAGGGGAGACAGAAGCCAACCATGCGGAAGATCATCAAAGTCTGCGCTTTTTTGGTCAAGTTTCTTCTCGTCTCGTCGGGCTTTTCTCATTTACATTACATTATGCTGGCTCTGGCTCCGTATTATGAATGAATGTTTACCTACACACATGTGAAAAATGTTGTAATTAGTTTTTTCCAGTTTTTTTTCCCCTTCTTCGCTCAGTGAGTGATTTTCAACAACGACTGCAAATTACAAGTTATTATTAATGTTAACAAGCGAAATCTCCGTGTACTTATGTGTGTTTATATATGACCGACAGTGTGTATATATATATAGTGAAAACTAATTTAGCAGGGGGTCTTCCCCCGGCAGCCCCTTGATTTGGTTTCTCGAAAAGCTTATGCACATGCCACGTAAGTATTGTACATTAATGACTGTTCTTGATTTATGCGAGGCGATCAGTGGGGAGCAGGAGGCACCTTCCTCGCGCAAGTGGGTCACATGTCCCGTGGGTATTTGTACTTACAGATGCGGCTACACGAGGCACTAAATGCGGTCATAAAAAGCTAAAAAGAAACAACCTCCCCGGTAGCGCTGACATTGCATAGAATCCGAATCAAACACAAAATACGTTCCACAATAATTATGCAAAGAGCTGCAGCGAAGAACAAAAAGCTCGTTGCACAAACGACATCGACACGAACTCATAAAATATGCAAAATGTGTGCCAGGCAGCAGAAGTCGGCACTCGGCACTCGGCCGACAGCCAGCAACTTGTGTCAATAAAAATCAAGCCAAGCACCAGGCATCCTCCAACTAAAAACGAAAAACCAAACCAATCCTCTGCACTTGTTCCATCGACTCGGATGGGATCCGATCCTATGCCGCACGTAGATGCAGCTGGCAAACTGTGAGTGTGTCTCGAGTCTAGACAGCAGACAGCCAAAGTCACTTCACATTGCACATTGCGCTTCCTGACTCCGGATTCAATGAGCCATGGCCGCGAAGGATGGTGCACTGGTTGCTCTTTATGGCCCACCGATATATTTGTATATAAGTATATAGGTTGAGTGTGTGGGACTTTAGTGCACTACATATCCGTTTGGTCGGGGGCTACAATAAAAGTGCAGAGCCGAAAGCTAATCAGGGGTAAAATTTATTGTAAATCCTCGGAGAATTTGAATACTCCCGCGGAGATGGGATGGGATGATCACATGGCTTCATCGGATGGTCGGATGAAATCAATAGACAAATCGGTTTATGTACTGGCCCCGCAAATTGGCAGGAGCAGGAAGCGGCAAAATTCAGGCCAGCTTTATGAGGGTCATAAACAAGTAGAGGTGTTTGGGGCAACATTGCTCAAATTAAAGCAGAGCTCCGGGACAAGCACTTAAAATGCCTGCTACACTCTGAATATTAGTTTTGACCATGGTTCAAAAATGTAAACAAATTGCAGTCTTCACTAAACAATCTTGAAATAAAGAAATATTAAATTAAAATTAAAATGGGTCTTAACTCCTGAAGCAAAGAACATATTTTTCTTTAAAATCCTTCTTTACAAAAATAAAATATATTTTATTAAATCTAAGCTTTTAGCTAATATTTTCTCCGAGTGCAGGAAAATTCTCTGGCATTTATTGCTGGCAGTAAATAAATAAATAAGTAAAGCAAACGAAAATCAAACGGGAAAATGTCAGAGGCAAAAGTTCTCAGCCCGGGCAGCAGACAAATAAATTTATGACACATGACGTTGTGGAGTACAAGTACGGGCCACAGCAATAGCAATAGCAACATCGACGTCGAACGAGCGTCGACTGAAGTGTAACTTCCCACTGACCCAATTTACAAGCACTTAATGCCAAAAAGGAGAAGTCGTAGAAGAAATAAACAAAGACGAAAGTCAGGCAGGGGTAATGCATATCAAATAAAGTTCAAGCGACAGCAGCAACAGAAACACCAACAAGACGACAAAAATTATGACCAAAATAGACAGCACTGGCAACACAGGAACAACAACAAAGAAATTTAAATTAAAATCCAAAAACTCCCACACATAAAAAGTCGAGAAAGAAACGCGAAAGAAAAAATGTACACACTTATACAGGGCAGCAGGGTAACCAAAAAATACAGAAACAGAAAAAAAGGTCTGTCAAAATTAAATCATTTCGGTGGCAAACAACATAAACCGATGGTTAAAAGTTGATAATGATGATGCTTGGATAACGCTCGTTATTACTATGGTTGGTGTTGTTTTTGTTGTTTTTGCTGGTGTTGTGGCTTTGGCTTTGGCTTGGGCTGTCCAGTGCGTTGGTGGCTGGCACTGACAGCGTAACAAATGCTATTTTGACAAAGTGTCTGACATGAGGAGCGTGGAAGCGCGGACCCAGAAAGAGACAAGCGAAACGACGAGGGTACATACCATCACAATTATGCGAAAGTGAGAAAAAATACAGTGCGAAACGGTTGCTGCGTGTCTCCTATACACATACCATACCATACCATATATGTATGGCCAAAAGAAGAAGAAATTTATGAAAATTTTCTACCGCTGATAAACACCCGCTAAAGTTAAGCGGACAAACGACCCAGAGTCCATTCCACTTGACGGCCAAGCTTCCGGTTTCTTTTTGGGTGAAATTTTCTATGCGCCTGTGGCAGATTTATGTGAGAAAACACAACAACACAAGCGGCTAAACATTTTTCATAGAAAATTATAAACACCGAAACACCGATAGTGAACTCTGACAAAATTTGCATATTCCTCCCTTTTGGCGCTTTAACACGTATGGCGCTGTTGTTGGCTGCATGACACGGGCAACAGACTTTTAATTATTAATATTAGACATTAGAAAATGAATACCAACGAATAAGATAAACAAAATCAATCAGTCAGTCAGTCAGTGGTTTCACAACCCATGGGGCTTCACATACAAATTAACAGCTTTTATTTCACTCATTTGTCACCGTGTTTCTGTTTCTGGGCAAACATACTAGATTTGCCGTTAATTGAAGAAAATCTTGGTCTGTGATTTTGGGCATGTTAAATGGACAAATGAGTGACTAATTTAATGCTAAGTAAACAAAAAAATAGCGTAGAAAAATTATTTAAGTTTTACAACAGTTATCAAAGAGAGAAATTTGAGTAGAAATATTTGGTAAAAAATACAAATATGCTCCTCAACTTTGAAATGAAATTAAGCCGATTATGATTAGCTTCTTACTAGTTATTAATTAAAGTTGGCCAAAACTAGTTTTCTTTTAATATATTTATAGTTTTTAAGTCTATTTTTAGCAAGCGCCTATTTCTACCGACCGATTATGACGATTTAACTTATTCTTAGAATTCCATCATATTTTTTAATCATTTTATCTTTTTTCTGTGGCGCACCATAATCAGTTTTTCGTTTCATTCATAATTTTTGCCTGAGAGCGTTAACAAGTTCGTTGCCTAAGTCTTTTGTTCCTGCTCACCAAAAGCAGTGATCAAGAGTTAATACAAAGTTATTCACGAGTGTAGTTAAGTAAAGCTTATCTGCGCCATGAGTTCGTTGCTTGAGTCTTTTGTTTGCATTGCTGAATGCGGCGTTGATTTGGAATTGCTTTTTATTAGTTTTATTTTCCGTTTTTGTCGTTTTTAATTTAAAGTGGCGACGTTTCACTTTAATAATTTTAATACCTTGAGTTTTTTATTGCCTTCGTTTTAATTAAATGCCATTAAGGTGTTTCTCTTTCCCTGAGCTTGGAGCCAATTGTGTTTTTTTTGTATTAGCCATCGGGTTTTTTCCTGATAGGCAGTTCAGTGAAAAATTGTGTTGCTCCCATTTGGGATCTTATCTAAAATTGATTTCGTTTTAATTTACTGCCTGCACACACTTAAACTTCGGTTTATGGTCTTTGCGGTCTTCTATCATCAGCGCCCCTTCTTATTGATTATATTTTTATACAATTTAAATAAATAAAACTGATTAATATTCATTGATGCCTAATTTATGAGCCTTGTATGTGTCAGCGGATCTGTGTGTTGTGCCTCGGCTTGGTGCTAAAGCCGCTGCTACCGCCAAGTTCGACTAACTTTCTTCCAGCAACTGGCAAAATTATCAATTATGAAGTCATTATTATTTACAGCAAGCCAAACATGCGGCCAGTCGCGTTTGATTAATAGCTTTTCAAGCTACGGTCTCGTCAAGGGTTAGCCGTTTTCTATTTTCGCAAGCTCAGATTTTTGCGCATTTTTCTTTATTTTTGCACAGAAGGTGTTGCCGGAACATTTTTTCTGCCTTTGAGTTTTTTGGGTTTTGCGGCAGTCGCTGCGCAGTTCTAATTAGCTAATTATACGCTAAATTAGTATATAATTATTGCTGGCCAGGCGCTGGTCTTGCACACGCCGAGTGACTAATTTAAGCGGGCCAAAAGTTAAATGGGCGCCTTAGCGAAATTTTTGCCACTATTCAAATTTGAGGAAAATAAATACCTACTCAAATGGTAGATAAGGCTTAAGTGCCGTTGAGATGCGCTATCAGCGTTTTGTGAAATTTGTAATCAATTTGCCAATTTTTGGCACAAAAGACCCAAACGGAAAGACAAAGAATTCCTCATTAATAGTTACTAGTTTGGCTGAAATCCTTATTTTATTTTGTTTTAATTCTGCTTTGTTTTGCGGTCTTCTGGTCGTGATAACTGGCTGGGGATTTCTATGGCCTGTGCGTCATGACTTTCCAAATACAAAACGCCAGCGATAAAACTTGAATTTATATGCCTGCGATAAGGCAGCGCTGCTTTGTGTCTGATAAAACTATTAAAAAATCCACGAAATTCGTAGGTATATATAAACTACCAAGATTTGATTTTAATATGGTTCTGCTTTGCATAGATGTGCGACAGGCAAGAAATATAGAAATACCTACGAAATAAACTAAAGACTGGGACAACGGGGTTGACAACCAAACTTGCACTTACCGGTTTCAAATTGGTCAAAGTGGTCGGAAAGTTTATCCAAATTTAACAGCTTAATAAATCCACATAAATATGTACGTTTATAGTATATGATACTCTTTCGTATGCGTATTAACTCTTTTGGGCTACACAATGATTTTCATTAGTTTTTCCCAGGCCTCAGCCCATAATGAGCATTATTTATGGCCACCGATTGTTAAAGACACTCTCACACACATTTATCATCGCATCGTCTTATCAGACGAAGCATAATTCTCGGCCTGCATTCATAAATTTGCCAGCCACTATTTCATTTGCATTTGTCGGAGGTGCGGGAAATATTCTTGAACAAAACTAATTTGGCGGGGTTAATTAAAAAACTGAGCTCCGTATCGCAGTTTCCGTTGGCGGTTTCCGTTTTTTTTTTTTTTTAGTATGAGTATGAGTGTTGGTGGGCGACAGGAATCGCGGCGATAGCGACAACAGGCGCTGGAAATTTTCAACGTTGGCCGACGGCAAATGAACTTATACGGAAGTCGGAGAGGCGAGAAAACAGAAACAGACGAAACAAAACGGCTCGGCTCGGCTCAAAAGTCAATATCGAAATCTCCGCTCGAAGCTCCGAAACGCACGCAACGCTCAAACACTTGAAACTGAACTGAACTGAACTAAATCTGGCTCTTGGCCAGCATGTCCAAGAAGTTGCTGGCCAAAAGCAGCGACGGCGACGTCGACTTCAGCCGATCCGCTGAGAGCGTGACGACAACGCCGGCAGAGCAGATCTTTGTTTTTTTGGGGGGTTTTCGATTTTTGTTTCTGCTATTATAAGATCTGTTTGTTGTGGCCACTAGCCAAAGCCGAAGCGGTAAATGATAATAAAAGTTGGCTATCTTTTTGGCCAGCTCTTCGCGCTCTATTAGCGATTCTGATGCTGATTTATGCTCTTAATATATTTGTCAATTATTTTTAGGATCGCCTGCCGCTTAATTCTTTTGTCCGCTGGGGGTTTCTATGGGTGGTTGGGATTATTTTTAGAATTTGCATAGGCTGGCAAAGCGTTGAGCATTAAACTGTCAGCATTTTGATATCGTTTCGCCCCATAAATTGGTCGCTTTATGACCGTGTTTCTTCGACTGTCTCAATCAATGGGGAGTTTTGCAAAAAAAAGGGGAAAAGAAAAAACCTTTTGACCTCTGTCCGGTAGAATCTGGTTTGTCTTCTAAGGGAAAGGCTGTGACGGACACGCCCAGTCTATTGAACTTTTCCCATAAATAAGCAAGATGTTTTCTCACAACAATTATGAGGCTGCGGGCTGCTTCTAGCCATTGATAGAAACGCTCTCATTCACATCCCTGGACTGGCATGGCCTGGCCCCTTGTTTAATAATTTATCAAAAGCTTTTAGTCAATGATTTCGAATTTACGATTTCGATTCGCCTCAATGGCCCCAAACTGCGACTGTTTCTCTTAAAAGCCTTTCCACTGTCTCGCAGTAAACAGTCCATTCAGTGGAGTGCCGCAACGACCTGACCCCCATAAGCGTTTCACTAATTCATGCCACTTATTAGCCACAAAACACAAAATACAAAAAATACAGAAAATACAAAACACCACCAGCCAGGCCAACTTGCACCTGCCTCTTGGAGCCGTGCTCCATTTGGGGCATTTCAACGTCAATCAATATGCATTTGAACTCCATCAATCGTTTCTTCGGCTTCGGCTGTGGGATTTCGGATTTGGCCTGGCTTTGAGCATTTCTTTTGGCTCTTTCTCTTTCGATACGATTTTATGGCTTAATGCCGTTTTCTGGCCATTGAGCACTTAACGCTACATTTTCGGGCGGGCAAAGACGGTTGGTTCGTTGGTTGGTAAGGGGCATATTACCCGGGCTTATTGGCTGTCTTGTAGCTTGTATCTCTGGCTATCGATGCTCATCTGTTTTGCATTTTATGGCGTCCCTGCTGACTTTTCTCACATTTCTACGCCCGAATTTCAATTTTGTTCACATCTATTTCTGGGCTTTTATGAATTTTTAATAATTTCTTTTTATGTTTGATTTGACACCCGGGCAACGATGAGAGCGGTTCCAATATATTAACGGTTTTTTAATTACCCACTGTCGGTGCCCCAAAACAAGTTCGCTGCCCAAGTCTTTTGTTCTCTGCTCGGACAGCATGACGGCCTGACAACACCAGGCTCCGCATCCAGGTCGGAAAAGTGAAATTGAAGTCGTAGAGTCGCAGTTGTTGTGCTCTTGTTGGGGGAAAAACGGGAGGCGGACACTACATACGTATAATAATGTAAAAAACCTAGTAATCAAGGGAGCCACAAAGATCGGGGGCAGCTCATTAACTTGCCGCTTTCGTCAACCAGCCCCAGATGCCCGAAAAAATAGCGCCACGTCATGTGAGGCAGTCTGGGTTTTTTCTTCCCCCTATATTTCAAGTCCCTCTCAAGGTGTTGCAGCTACCAGAGCTACCTGACTCCCCATCCGAGGCTCCGGAATGCAGCGCCCACTCGGCCAGCGTTTATTATTTCATCTTCTTAGAGCCTGCTCACCGCCCAGCTTGACCCATTTTCTGTTTATGGATCTTATGGATCATACTTACATATAAACGTACATAAATCTGTTCGCGGCTCCACTGTCTCCTGGTCTCATTGTTAAGTGTAACTATTAGTTTGCTACGTTTCCAGGTCAACGGGGCAATCAATCATATTATGTACAGAAGGAAATTTGTATAGTTGGGCAGTCGAGCAGTTGAGCAGTCGAGCAGCCCCTCGCCGCACAAGGAGTGGAATTTGATTTCTCTTTTTTTTGGCACTTTACATGCCCTTGCGGCTGACTTTGTATTGTTAAACGGACAGTTAATGGCGGAAACACCACAAACGGCATAGTTTCTTGTCAACTATAACGAATCGCTGTGTGTTAGGGCGAGAAAAATATAATATTCCATTCTATTTTGCGATAAATTGATTTTTATTTGTAGGCCTTTTTTATTATTTTAATTCGAAAAAATAATAAAACCTTATTAATTATGAGCACAATCTTTGGAATTCTGTTTTTAAAACTTTGCCTTGGTTTTGTCTTTATAAATTTTAATTCCTATAAATTCTTAAAAACCAAAAAAATTAATATAATAAAATTTTGAAATTCAAAAGATTTTTATCCAAACTACGTTGTATCACTCACTAAAAGCATACTTCCAAAAAAACCCACAAATCATCTGTGGTCTTCAACGACATTCGTCAAGAGAAGCAACAAACGGAAGTTCGCAGACGAGAACTGAAGATGACTAAAGCCAAACAACAATCCGCAAATAAATTATGGTTATGCACTAAGCAAATATACCTTTAAAATTATGGCTCCGGTATTTATTCTGGCAGCGGTTTTTCTCGTCTTCCTTATTTACCTACGACTGCTGATTTGCCGCCGATTTGTTATACATTTTACGAAATTCCTTTCGGCCAATGGCTTCTGCGGGTATTTTCTCCACTCAACGCTAGATTTCCCAGCATATTTCTACACAGAAATCGGAATCGCAGGAAGCGCATACCAGACTCTGGCGTTGAAAGATAAATAAAAAGCTGCACATTCACGATGCTGACCGGTGCTGCGCGGTGGCTGTTATGAAAATGAGTTTAAGTTTTTGTTTGTTTATTTTCTAAATGAACTTTTCACCAAGCGGATGTCGAGTGTTTAGCGGAAAGTGAAAAGTGCTGCTTAAAATGACTTAGTTTGCAGGTTTCGCCGGGCCTTTGCGGAAGTCGCAGCGGCGGCAGCGGCAGTCGGTAACTAACAAGTTGTCTATCATGGAAAAGCAATTTCCATGCCAATGATTTATGAGCCGCTTAACCGGCCCATTACAATCTTATCTCTGGGCTATTATGTACACCGTTTGAGCTGACAAAATATATTGTGCTCGAAATCTAAAGCTGCCACGCTAAACTTCAAGTTGAATCTGAATCTCGAGCCTCAGCTGACGCTGACATGTCGCGCTTATCGCTGTTGAACTATCAAGAGACCAGAGCGCGCAGACAAAAGCCGAATGGAGCTGGCCAAAAAAGCCAAAACAAAACCTGGGACCCCAGTATCCAGTACTATAGCTCGCTATATATATTTGTGTGTACACACAGTGTGTCTCAATTGTTTGCCACCACGCACGCGCGCAATTACTTAAACATGTCCAAGTCCGCGTCCACGAGTGGAGCCCACATTTGCCAGCCCGCCAGCCAGCCAGGTGCACTGTAAGTGTGTGTGGGTATCCTATGCAAATGCGAATGCAGTCTCAACTCATTGAATGACCCTCGTTAGGCGCCCCTGCCCCTGTCACTGCCCTCTTGCCCCTAATCTCCTCCTGACTCCGTCACGCTTTGTTTGGCCTGTCAAGATGACAAGTGTTTGCTTTGCTTTTGCCTGCTCCTCGACGCAGCTGGCGCTCCGGCCATGTAAACTTGACATTTGATAGCATTTTAATTAAAAAGAAGTCGAACGGAGTTGCAGGAAAATTTATGACGGCGCACTAAATCCCGAGCATGTGCGTGGTTCGGTCTCTGGAAATGGTATTTTTGGTCCACTCTAGCGCCAGATCTGTCTATAGATCTTAGAAATTATATCACGCAGCGTTCGGATCTGCGGAGGTGGCTGTAAAAATATATATATAGCTGAGGTGTCGGCGGGGGTCTGTGGGGCGTTGTCCGTGACCGTGTGGCTAGCCCAGCGAAATGAGGTCGAAATTATTTGCAATTTATTGAAGGCAATCACAATGCCTATGAACTATATTTCCAAGCCATGGCATGTTGGCTCTTGTGGTTGTTGTTTATTAGTTCTTCAGCTGGCCTTTTCATTGAGCCATGAAATTCCGTTTTCTAGTCCCTAACCCCTTTACCCCCTGCCAACTCTTTTCCCAACTTAATTTTTATGTTTACTCTTTTTTCCGCAAGACATTTCTGCAGATCGTGTCGGCTGGTCTGGGGAGTTGTGGCAGAAGTGGCAGAAGTGCCGCGGAGATTGATAGGAATGCAGCTGGATGTTCAGTTGATTGGAATAATGGCATGGCCGAGAGTTATGTGGGCACATTTATCTGCTTTGATTGCCTTTATAAAATATTTTACGGCAAAATGTGTAAAGTAATCTTTATGCAGTTGCTGGACAGCTAACGTTCTTCAAATAAATCTAATGGCGGATTGATAGTCAGGCAAAAATGTTCTACTATGTCTTTAAAAAAAATTTACAAATCAGAAAATGTATTTTGTTTAATTTTTTTAAATTTTTTAGTTAATTTTTCAAAATAAAGGGTACCCAAATATGGTTTATACCCCTAAATATTCGCCACTCACGACTCCCAGTCGAATCATTTCCCTTCTTGTTTCTGTCATTTTTTTGGCTGCTTTTGTGAATTGAGTTAATTTCGCTGGTAGCGGGTGGTTGATTAAAACGGAAATGTCGTGCGTTTAGCTTAATGATCTCCAACGCCTCGCCTTTAACTCGTTCGTTTTCAAGTGCAAAACAATTTGCATCCCTCGAGGGGTAAAATCAGCCCACCAAATAGGAAGCCTCACCCATATTCCGTGCGAACCCTTGAATTTTCGTTGTGATATCTGAAAACTACGAATCGCTTTTCATGCTTTTCATGTTCAACGTGATCT